GTAGATAACCTTTATCAGCTTGAGGACATTCCTTCCATTCCTATTGCTAGTTTGTATTTTTATAATGAAAAGGGTCTTGGATGTTGTCATATGCTTCTTTGTTTGATGATGTGGGGTTTTGTCCGTAATTCTTTTAATATGGTATATTATTGATGGGTTTTCATATGTTGAAACCAGCCTATATTCCTGTGATAAATACCACTTGGCCATGGTATGTAACCCTTTTTATGTGTTGCTAGATTAATATTGTTCGTACTTTATTGAGGATTATTGTATCTGTATTCATAAGGAATCTTGGTCTGTAGTTTTCTTGTGATGTCTCTGCCTGATTTTGGTGTCAGGGTTGAACTAGCATCTAAACTAACTAACGGATATAGTGCATAAATTTCTTGATGGATATTAGAAGCAATAGTATTTGAATATATTTCTCAGGAAGGAAAGGATTTTGAAAAAATTCTATGACTCCCTCCATTGAGAATCACCAATACTGGATAAACTTTATCTTTCAAAGTTTTTTCATTAAACCCAATTTAAGGAATCTGTGAAACTAGAAATACTGGTGAATATCATTTAAAATTGCACCCCTCTTTGCTAGAAACTGTATTTTTTTAACCCTTGCAGCTTCACTAACAATCTGTTAAATTCCTTTACAAAAAAAGATTGAAACCCTTCTGTACTTGCACAGTGGCCATGACGACCATGCGTATTGCTCCTGGGACCTTCCTGTAGGTGTATTACTTTTGTCTTTCGTTTGCCCGTCAGGCCGAGTCGTCGTGTCTCTCTCGACTCTTCTGCCCTCTGTCCCTCCTCAGCAGCAGGGCATCTCTGGGACTTATTTCCACATGACTCTCATTGTATCTGTTTTGAGAACTATACTATTTGCATATTTTCACACAATATATATATAGACTTGTAGACAAGATCTTCAGAGCTCTTCCATTTCTTGAAAAGACCTCATTTTTAGGAACTGTTTGATAGGTAGAAAAGTAGTAGGTTATAGTTTACTGTACTTGCATGCAGTTAGGTTTATATTAGGCTGCAGTCACTGAATATCACTGGATCATATACATGACTATTCTCATATCAATAGCTAAGGGGAAATTGGCTTGATTCAGCCCAAAGCACCGGAAGTTTTAACTATGAGTTATATGTAAATATTAATATTAAGCTATCAGGGAGGGTATTTTCTTCCCAGTAGGAAAGCCTCCTGGGAGACCCACACTTGTTATAAGATTCTCTAGTGGTATCAAACAGGAATAGAAAGGGTGCATTTTTGGTAAATACAGTAGTAATTCATGCTTTCCTCAAAAAGGGACAATTTCAGGTGGCATAAGAGGGAATGAAGCAAATTAAGTTTATAACAGTACAACCCAGAGATAAAAACTGTTAACTAAATAGTCTTTCAGACTTCATAGTTACACATTTTTAATAAAAGTCTGAGCTTTTAAGTTGGCATCATGTGTGAAGAGGGTGGGTTTTATCGGTAGGAAGCCTGTGTTAAAAATTCATGTTCACTACTTATTAAATGATCTGGGTCTCGCTTTTCTTGTCTGAAAGCCTGCCTCATAGTTTTAATAATTGAAAGAGATGATGTCTATAGACAGTATTCGGTCTAAGTGCCCAGTAAATGCTGACGCAGGAAATAAAGGGATATGTGGAAAATGTAGATTGGCAAGATGGAAGACATTTCTTAGGTGTAAAAAGTCTGTAACTTTTCAGCCTTTTTTTAGCTCCTCTCATACTGTTGTCATAATGGAATAGTTTATAATGGCTTGAAAAATTACAGGAATGTGAATTTGTTTTCCTAAATCTTCAGTAATGTTTGACCAAAAGGAATGTTCATTTCAAAAAACTGATATAAAATATTTAAGCTTCTTACCCCCTAGTAAATCTAGATCAAAAAGAAAGCAGTTATTTTAAATTTTTCTTGCACAAACAATAGAACATAAAATCTGACTAATTTGGACACACTGATTGGGAATTTGAATGCAGGATTAACGTGTATATCTGTACTAACTGTGAATCCTGTTTGTTTCTGAGTCTACAGGAAATAAAGCCTCATCCAAAGTTACACAGTGCTGAGGATGTGGGTACCAGGGTGTGGGTTTCTTGAGTCCCTGTTCCTGGTACTTCTTTCCACCACAGCCATCTATACAGCAATCATAGACTACTTATAAATAATTCTTATCTAGTCATTGAAACTGTTCGGACAGTAACTCTTGTTTTTTAGGTAACTTCATTTGACATTAATGTATGTTGTATATACCTGTAAGTTTTTTTAATGATGGTTAGAAATAGTGAGGATATCTGCATTTATCTTTTACCAACAATAGTGATATTGAGGGTTAATAAATGTTTTGGAGCACTTTGAGGATCAGACATTTTTACAAAGGAAGAGTTTTTTTTTTTCCTCATATAAAAATAGATTTGGGGTGTTTACTTGCTCATTCATCTAGGTTATCAACTTGTATTTGCCCTGTAATGATGAATACTTAGGTATGTTTTAAAATTCTTTTCCGGGTGATTTATAAAGTGACATGTTTGTGATATAACACAGCAATGTTTGCTAAGTTGCTTTGGTCGTGTCCAACTCTTTGCAGCCCTATGGACCATAGCCCACTAGGCTCCTCTGTCCATGGAATTCTCTAGGCAAGAATACTAGAGTGAATAGCTGTGCCCTCCTCCAGGGGATCTCCTAACCCAGAGATGGAACCCAAGTCTCTTACATCTCCTGCATTGGCAGGCGGGTTCTTTACCACTAGTGCCATCTGGATAGCCCAAAGTTATTCATAGGTTGACATTTTCTTTTTCCATGTGTATTTATTATTTAAAAACCTGAATAAGAAGGTGATAATGACTATGGTGGCGTTTATAATAACAAAAATAACAGCTCTGACATTAAGAGATATTTTATGCTGTATGCTATATTAAATGTATTCTATTCATTATCTTACTGATGAAGAATTTTGTTAATTGATTATGTCACTTAATCCTTACAACATCTCAGTAAAATCAGTAATGATCTCAGTAAAATCATTTCTATTTGTATACATATTTTATAGAGGAAGAAAATGTAGAGGTGAAGTGTAGAGGTGCAGTGTAGAGGTGAAGTGTAGAGTGATTTAATGACCTGCCTGAAGTCACATAACTAATATGTTATGGAACCAGTGTTTGAGTCTAGGTGACTGGACTCCGGAGTCTTACGTGCTTTGTCTGTGTAAGCTCCTGTTGTGTCTGTCTTAGATAAGCTACTGTTGTGGGGCACAGGGGGAGCCTCCAGGAAAGAATGTTACCAAAGACCAACTTTGTTAACTGTTTTTCCCTACCCTCTTGCTGAAAGAAAGAAAACTGCACTGGTTATTAGAATTGTTGCTAGCAGAGACTTAAAATGAGCCCTGTCCCTGTAGGTTTTCTAGATGCCTACCCATTCTTCAAGACTCAGCTGTCTCTTACAAAGACTTTTAAAATTTTCTCCAGTCTTTTTCCTTTTCTAAATTCTCACATTGGTAAGGTATTTGTTTTAAAATTTACTGATACTGTTTTTATGTGTCTTATCTTCCTAGAATTATGGTGTTTTCTAGTGGGACAGGGCTTAAAGAAAAATCCATGCCCCCATTTTCAGGTTTTTAAATTCATTCTACTAGGTTGAGTTGTTTTTGTTTTTTAACAGTATCAGCTCAGTGAGTGTTTGCGGAATGTCAGAAAGCTATTAGCATTGCTGTTATTTCTTTACTCAGTGTTTGTTATTCATGGTGTAGATGGACTATTTCAAGTTCTGGTCAGGTCGCAGTTGTGCTAGTATATTGGCATAGTAGTAGAAACTAGTTGAATAGGACAAAACTGATGTGGGTGTTTTAGGCAGACTTGGAGCAAACTCGAAATAGAGAAGCTTTAATAGATAGATGAAATCAGAGTTTGAAAACAAAGCTGTAAATCCTATATAGGATGTTAAATTAATAGCATTCAAATCAGATCATATTTAGGAGGGTGGAATAAATGTTCCTTAAACATAATAAATGTTGAACCCCAGGTTATGTGTAGCACACTTAATGGGCATTTAAAATATCTTAATCAGTACTCATATGATATTTACTAATAGGAATTTAGGGCTTCATAATAATATCTAACATTTTGTAGTTCATATATGTAAATTTTCCCACAAAAGTACCCTTAACACTAAAGGAAGTTCAAACACATTAGAGGACCTGGGGATCAAGACTGAAGTAGCCCCTAGATGTGATTTTTCTTTATTGCCTCCTTCATCTTAAAAATAACCATTTAAAAATGTACTCAAGAGTATATCCATATTTATTTTACTATAAGAACACTCCCCGATGCCAACTGTCCACAATCCAGAAAGGGATGAACTATGTTTAGCCTGTGAGTTCAAGAGATCTTGGGCCTCCTGCAGAGGAGGGTTGTACATACTTATGTTCTCCTTGGGTTGTACATAACCTGATCCTGAGACCACAGGCCCTTGGTTATTCGATCCCCACGGTGGCCTGTGACCATGGGCCAAGAGCAGACTTGCTAGGTTAGGCTTTGTCCGATTCCTTACTATTAATAAACATTATATAATAGTGTAATATGTTTTTTTTCTTTGACACCTAAAGTTTTATGGCATTGCATTTACCTACTCCTGGAGGAAAATAGCTTTCTGGGTAGTATAAAGGCTATTTCCGTCTGTTATTAGCTTTGTAGGAAATGTTTGTTTCAGTGATAGCCAGGTTAGGTTACAGTTTTGTGAAGTTTCTCAGAGATCTCTTAAAAGCAGAGCCGTGAACCTCATCTTTTTAGTTTTTAGTAAAGTTTTAATTTCTTAGCATGTTTTGAGTTAGTAGTTTTTTTCTGTGTTAAGATATTTTTTCTATTATTTGAATATACATATACACACACTTTATCTTAAGGCCATTTTACTTTTGTAGGTAAATAAAAATGTGGCAAATAAAAACGGGTAAGGTAATGTTCTAATTTCAGATCTCTTCTTTTTGCATCTTTAGTTGTCGACCTCCTCTACTGGAGAGACATTAAGAAGACTGGAGTGGTGTTTGGTGCCAGCTTATTCCTGCTGCTCTCACTGACAGTATTCAGCATTGTGAGTGTAACGGCCTACATTGCCTTGGCCCTGCTCTCTGTGACTATCAGCTTTAGGATATATAAGGGTGTGATCCAGGCTATCCAGAAATCTGATGAAGGCCACCCATTCAGGTGAGATGTCTGGAAAACAAGGCACGCATTGGCAGCACTACAAACAGTCTCAGTATTGACTGAGGCTAATCTCTGCTATTTGTAGAGTTACAGGCATGTTTTTTTTTTTTTAACTGCTAAAAGATAATTGCAAATTTTTGCTAAAAAGCTTTACCAAAAGCATCTGCTTTTTAGATTTCCTAATGGTCATTTCATAGGCTCCTGATGGAAAAGACTGGGTTTATGGATCATTAGCCGTAGCCTAACTCCACTACATGTTAGTAATATTTACTTATTAGAAGTAGGTGTTGGTTACCTAATTTTACTTTAAAGGAAGCTATATCTTTTTAACATGTTTGGGATTGGCAAGAGTTGTATTTTCTTTATTGATTACTCTTTATGCTATTTGATACTATGCTTTTCCATCGTGCTTCCTCACTACGTCTGTCTTTTCTTACCATTACTTCCTACTCTGTCTAGTTTCTTCTCCTCCTTCCCTAAGGCATTACTTTGGTGTATTATCCTTTGGAGAACTACTTTCACCATTTTCTTGTCTGTAAATTATCATCATCTTACCTTATTTTGACAAGTACACTAGCATTATATTTCTGGTTGCTAATGGGGTGGGCACACCTCAACTTGGATCTTCTGATCTCACTTCATACTCAGCACATTCCCCACCCTCATCCCCTCCTTTAAAAATTAAGATAAATATAATTCACATACTGTAAAATTCAGTGGTTTTCCCATATATTCATGGATTTGTACAACCATCACCATCTCATTCCAGATATTTTCGTTACACTCAAAAGACATTTTGTACCTATAGCTGCTCCCCACCTGGCCCCTGACAGCCACTAAGTTTTCATATTTTTAAATGAGTCTTTTATCTCAGACTTACCAGTTTCTATCACTTAACACCACTGTTGTCCTAATTTCAGGTTTCCAGTTTTCATGAGACTCGATGAGACTATAGACATTACTACATTTTACAGAGGAAACAAAGTATGAATTCAGTAATATGAAATTGCAACTTCAAAACAGCAGTTATATCATGCCACAAATCGTAAAGGAGTGTGGTTTTTAATTAGTTACACTGAAATATATAAAAACACTGTCAGGCCAACAATTCTAAATCATCTATAAATTTTACATATTGTTTGATTTTAAAGAAGACTTTTAAAAGAAACTAACGAAACATTATTGTTAGCTCAAAGGCCTTTTATAGTCATAAAGTAAATTCATCTAACATGCCAATTTAACTGCCTTTTGGACAGTTTTCCAAGTTCTTCAGTCACGTTAGTAAAGTTAGTATCACTGTGGTCTTTGGGAAAGAGTGACGACTGCGCTGCCTTTGCAGTAATAGCACATAAATGCCAGGTGAATGAATGTAAATATCCTCCGGTGCAAGCCTTTGGGCCTGCTGGGCAGACGTCTTGTCTTCAGCAGGAACAAAAGCAGTGGCACAGAGCAACAGAATACAGCTAAAGTCATGTCAGCCACTTCTCTATATTTCTTAAAACTGCACTAATAAATTTTTGCTGGTTTAAGGGTTAGGTGTGAATGTTTGACCATTTTTAACTTGATAATAATAACTTGCTATTTGTTGGCCAATAAATAATGAGGGACTGGGAAGCCTGGCGTGCTGCAGTCCATGGGATTGCAGAGTTGGACACGACTGAGCGACTGAACTGAGCTGAAATGATAGTGTCCTGTGCTAGACATTGTACTAATAAAGGTGATGTTCTTAGTCCTTGACAGTTTATACTGTAGTAGAAAAAAATGTGCAGGTATACACATATCTATATTTCAGGATGGATATAATTACTATAAGAATAAGAAAAAAAGAATAATACAAAAGAAAGCATTATTTGAGTTACATAGTAGGGTGGGGGAGAGGCCTTCATGTATGGGTGGGATATGAGGTGGTGCTGACTGACTTGGGTGTGCCGTCACCAGAGGTGAGAGGAGAGCTCTGTGGATGGGGAAAAGTGCATGAGGAACAAAGCCTCCCGTTAAGGTGAAGAACTTTAGATGAATAGCTCAGTTTTGAACTACAGCATAGTAGTGAGAAAGAAGATTGGAAGCATTCAGGGTTGGAAAGTCAGAATCATAGAATATTTGAGTTTGAATGGATTCAAGAAGTCTGTTTCTCTAATTTTGTAGAGGTGGAACCATGACCCAGAGAAGTTACATGCCTTTGCAAGGTTAAATACCTAGGTGGTATCGAGTCTTCTGATTCCTACCTGAGTTCAGCCTAAATAGCACTATCTAGTATAGCTCAAAAAGAAAGGAATTCAAATAAATCCACTTAAATTATAGTGATGGCATAGTGAATAAAAATAAGGAGATATATTTGGGCATATTGCAGGAGTAAAACTAGGAGACAAGGAATTACTAGAGAGGACGGTAATTTCCAGTGTAACTAGTGTCCACAGACATGGGGAGTTTTTGAGAGGGACTGGATAAGGAGCTGCTTCCAACAGATAAGAGAGAATAGCACTTCTGATTGCTCCAAGATGTTTGAAACAATAATGGAACAATTCCTGCTGACTTAACTATTTTTCCCCATTACAGTTGTCTTCTTAAATTTGACAGTTCCAGCTATTTCACTATAGATTGGAGCACCTGAATGAACAGTCCGGGGCTTGATTTATTGGTGTTTTCATTCCAGTATTTTTGCCTGGAAATCCCATGGACAGAAGAACCTGGTAGGGTACAGTCCATGGGGTCGCAAAGAGTCAAACCCGACTGATCAATTTCACTTTCACTTTCTTCCCCCTAAAGATTAGGCGAAGAGAGTGTAGTTATTTGGAAATGAATAGGATCTTTGTTAGGAAAAGTTGATAACATTTTGTCCACCTGAAAAAACCAAATCCACAATAATAACTACCATTAATTGAGTGCTTCTTTGTCCTTGATTGTGTTAATAAGCACTTTACGCATTAAAATATCAAGATAATCTCTGTTGCATAAATGAGGAAATTGAGTTAAAGGGATGACTAAACTTCTAAAGTTACACAGCCAGGTTAGTGGCAGAGCTTAACATTCAAGCTCAGAATCAGTCTGACTTCAGAGCATATGCTTATTTGCTAACCCCCTGCCTTATCAATCAGACACCCCGTGCTTGGTGAGCTTTTACACTGTGCTTGTTAACTTGGAAGGAGTATGCTTCTGTTTTATTAATGTGCTCCTTTATGGATATCTATTTGCCAATTGATTGACATTCACAAAAAGTCATTCCAGTCAGTGACAGTTAAGATGTGTCTTCTTTTCTAGGGCATATTTGGAATCTGAAGTTGCTATATCTGAGGAGTTGGTTCAGAAGTACAGTAATTCTGCTCTTGGTCATGTGAACTGCACAATAAAAGAACTCAGACGCCTCTTCTTAGTTGATGATTTAGTTGATTCTCTGAAGGTAAGTTTATTTGCTTTCCATTTTTTGACATACCCAGAATTTAACATCAGAGTTAAGAGAATAAAACTGTTTTCTATATTAAAGTAAATGATAAAGATGTAATGAAATCATTATTGTAAACTTCTGTTCTGAAATTCAGAATCAAATAAAATATTTAAGATGGAGGAAAAGCAATTCCTTTTTAAAGGAAAATGTTATAAACTCTAAGTTTTGGAAATCATAAAGATTAAAAGTGAGAATTTTGTCTGTAAGAATAGAGATTATCCAGTAGATTTAATGCCAAATATTATTTCATCTAGTTTGACTTTGTTTTAGAGTCTGGCACATATATACATGTAAGTTATTTCATATCCCTACAATTTTTTCAAATGTTTTCTTGAAAAGTGTTAATATTCTGAAACACTACAGCTAATCATCAGTTGGTAATCTTTGGAATTTAGTTTTCAGATCTTGCTACATAGCAGCTGTTAGTCTCACCTTGTAAGTAAGCTTGCCAGAGTTCAGACTGATTCTAAATGAGCACTAAATTGGTCACATAATGTGAACCCCAAGAACTGGGACTACAGTACTTCTCCTTTGTGTAGAACCCACTGTCTGTGTTTTGTGTATTACTGCCTGTGATTTAAGACAGACTCGTTTCATATCTAAGCCTGGGTAGAAATGTACTATGGTAGTAATTACCATAATTTCTCTTTTCTAAGAGATACGTACAAGTTTGCAATTTGTTGTGCAAACCAAGGATGTCATAGCAATGGGACGATTGGGCCTTTAGATTTGGCAAAACAATTTCTGTGGTGGTCAGAATAGGTTTAAATGCTCAAAATGCTTTTAACATATTATCTTAGTCTTAATAGGCCAGTAATGGACGTTATTTTCAGCTGTGTGCTTCTCTCAGTTTATTAAGACTTGGAACCTCAGTTACTAATAACATTAATGGTAAAAAATTGAGTTTCCTTTTATTATTATCTCTTTTGTGTAGAGTGCTTGCATTTAGTGACCCATTCTGTAGTAGTGCTTTAAAATAATCTGATGTCAGTCTGTAAATAAAGAGATCATGGTTATATCATTGGGATCTTTGATTAGTATCAAGAGGAAACAAATAATATTTGCGAGCAAATCAAATACAACCTTGTACTCATGGGTCCTGGAAGAAACCGGTTTATTCATTGAAGTGGTATTTGTAGTGAATAGCTTGACTGCTGGGGGTAGAACATGTTTGAAAAATTCTTGAGGGGAATGCACTAGTGTAGTTTAAAATGAAGGGTTTTGTGGGTAGGAGTTGATTGAGAGGAAACACTAAATAGTGACACAGAGGTTCAAACAGCGTAGGGCCATCTCTGAATTCGGCAGTCAAAAATTGCTGAGGGGGGAGCAGAGGGCTTCGAACAAAGGCATCATGAAGCTGGATGGAGGAGTCATTTTTTTTTTTTATACTTATTAATAAAAACTGCAACAGATATAAACTCAAAGTCCCCATGTTTGCACTGTGTAACAGTGAAGGCAGTTATGCATGTCTAATATTTTTCTTGAGAGAAGAGGCATTCTTGAAGAAATCTGTTTAAAACAAAACAAATTGATCTGGGAATGACTCATTCATTGTTTTCTAGTTCTTACAAATTAGAGCTTTAAGTTTCCCCTTGTCTTTAATCAGTTGAAATCTTATTCTTTCAGTTTATTGTCATCTATACACAATTCTCTGTGTAGACAGTTATGTAGGTGTGGAAATATTTGCAAAGGCTAGGGAAGTGAGAAAATATTACAGGAGGACTGAATAAATACTTTAGAAAACCTTTAAAATCTGATTTCCACAGATATTTGAAAGTAGAGTAAAAGGAAATTTTATTAATAAATACTTTTATGAGATAATTTCTTTTTGCTGTTAAATCTCATTTTAAAAATTTCCTTTGAAAATTACCTTGGGTTTTTGGGGGTTTTTTTAATGAGGAAGCTAACATAAATGAAAGAATCTGAACTTGGTAAATTCTTGCCTTCAGTGATTTTGCTAATTTGAAGGTAACAGGAAGTGGCATATAATGAGATAGGTTACTTTTTGGAACGCTTAAATTTTATGAAATTTTCTTTTATTTTAGAAATATTGTTTCTTAATATTTGGGGGGGAAAGCAGTTGAATTAGAAGCCTAGTTTACTACTGCTTCTCCGTAAGGATTAGGAAAGAGAAAACTTTTTTGAATGGTTTTCCAAAGTAGTGTTTTTTGGCAAGCCCAGAGCTCAAGGAAATCTGCTTGGTGACTTCTGCTGAGGCAGATACATTCAGGGCTCCAAATAACATTTGTATTAACATCTGACTGATCCTTGCATTGAGGTCTCAAAATCTGTTGAGGCAAGGAATAAGGCAGGGTGTCTGTCCTATTCTTGCAATACAAAGCCCTCTGATAACATACATGGAGGGTCTTCCTTGATCACCTTTGTGGTTCTGCTGTGCATGGGGTACTTAGTTAAACCTTTGCTTACATCGTTGTGTGTGGTTAGTGTAGATTCCACTTGTTTTCACTGAGTAAGGGAACTACAGAAACACAGGATACTTGCTTAATATGTCTTACTGAGAAAAGCAGAGGAAAACAACACTCTTGTCTCTCTTTAAAATGACTTAATAGTATTCCTTTTCTAGAGGGAGTTCTTGAGTGTTTGCCACTCACCCCCATAGTTTTTATAAAAGATTATTTTCCTTCTGACTCATTTACCCTTTGCCTTTTAGCCACAGCAGTTAGTGGGAGAATCATATTCTTCCTCCCTAAAGCAAGCAAAAATATTTTTTCAGATCTCTCTTTTTTTCTTTCTCTTCTTCAATGTAAAGGAAAAATAAACTTGCTTTGTTAAATTGATTGGATTTCCTTTTATTCAGATTTTAAATTTGGAAAGTTTGCTAATAAATAGCCCCAGTCTCTGCAGTTTCCAAATGAATTTATCTTGTTAAATAACAGAGTTTTTAAAAAATTTATAAGAACCAGCTTTTGATTGGGATTACTTTTATTTTATATCATTCATAGCTAGGAAAATGGACACCACATTAATTTTAAGAAAGTACAGGAGGAAGTAGTCTCATTATAATTTTTTTTTCATTTAGAAAATAGACATTGTATCAAGCTCTGTGGCTTATTTAAAATAGTAGCTTTTTAAAATTTGAAAGAGGTTTCTCTGTAAGTCACTATCTTTGTAAGTGTTTCATGCCCTAAAATTTATATAATCTACATTTCTAGATTCTGGGTCATAATTACCACTACTTCTATTTGAAACCTTCCTCAGAAATTACAAATTTTAGAGTCATTATTCTTAGCATGTGAAATTTTTCTTCTCCTTTCTTACTATCATATTTTTGGAAGTTTGTGAGAGGGCCTGGTTATTCTATATGTTGTTCTGAAGAAATAACCAAATATAACCAAACCCCAAGGTTCATCAAGCCCCTTGGAAAAGATTTGACATCAGATGGTGGTTATCAGTGTGCCTGGCCTACATCTCCCTTTTGGTGGTTGACTTGGACAAATAAAAATAAGACACACCCTGCAGATTTCTCCTTTTAAATTCTTGTGTACAGCTGACCCTTAACCAGTGTGGGGATCAGGAGCACTGACCCCCGCCGCACACATAGTTAGTTGACGGTCTGTGTGCAGTGTGCAGCTGGCTCTGCACGGCCCCAGTTCCTCCTCATCTCGTCCAAGGCCCCTCCGTGTCTGTGGTTCCTCCGGTCCCCCTGGTCCCATGTTCACAGGCTCAGACAGCTGAGGACCCTGTAGAGTTTACTACTGAGAAACCTGTTCTGACAAGTGGGCCTGTGGGTTCAGACGCCTGTGTTCAGAGGCCAGCTGTAATTGCTGCATTTGTTTTGTTCCCTCGCAGTTAACTGCAGCCTTCTAAATCTTAGAAAAGATTTCAGGTGTCCATAGATTGAGAAACAGTTCATTTACCAGAAGACTAAGTCTAGGCAAATATTATGGGCAAAATCACTGACAAAATATTTCTAATTCCATTCAGTAGGATTTATTCAAATAGTATAAAATTTTACCACAGGCAGATGTTTTGATCAATCCTCAGGATTTGTTGTAAAGTGGGTTTGTTACATTGAGTGCCAGATATAAGGTAAGGGGAAGACAATTAATGGAAAAAGAGGTAAAGGAGGAGGGTTCTCTAGTGAAAGTGAGCTGTGAAGCTGTGTCTGTTTCCTTTTCTTGGAGAGCCTAGTGTGTATTACCTTACTAGTTTCTAAGGAGTCCAAAAGAGGCTGGATAACTTTATTTAACCCAGTGATACTTGTCAACCTTGTTTAAATAACACCCATTACTACCAGAACAGTAGTATAAGATGGTTGAATAAATTTAAACCACCTGGTTAAGGTTTAATTCCATTCTGTGACCGACCTTCTGTGTAAGGGGTCTTTTAGATGGGGGCTCTTCTTTTAAAACAATGGTTGTCAGTCTTGGCTGCACATTGCAGTCACTGGAAGCTATATAATCTAATGATACTTGGGAAGGGGAAGAGGTGGGAGTCCCATTCCCTGAAATGATTTAATGTTTTAAATTTAATTTTTCTAAGGACACTGCTTGGAGAGTCACTGGTTTTAAAGGTTGTGGTTTAAGCTACAACCCTGGGCTATAGTTTTCTTCCCACCCTCTTAATTAGAAAAGCATGTGAAGGTCTCCACTGGGCTCAGCTTTACTAGGGGGTTCTGCCTTTTGAAACTTCAGATCCCAAGAAAAAAGTCTAGTACTTTCAATTCAGTTCAGTCACTCAGTTGTGTCCAACTCTTTGTGACCCCATCGACTGGGCACGCCAGGCCTCCCTGTCCATCACCAGCTCCTGGAGCTTGCTCAGACTCATGTCCATTGAGTCAGTGATGCCATCCAACCATCTCATCCCATCCTCCTCTTCTCCTCCTGCCTTCAGTCTTTCCCAGCATCAGGGTCTTTTCAAATGAGTCAGGTCTTTGCATCATCAGGTGGCTAAAGTATTGGAGCTTCAGCTTCAGCATCAGTCCTTCCAATGAA